TAGTTTTGCTTTTTTAAAATTTAATTCTTCTATATACCTGAAGTCTTATCTTGGAAATAAATATGAAAATAATGTTACTTTTTCTATGTTTATTCATGTACTATTTATTGAATCCTTTCCTTGTTGTTCTGTGACACTGTCTTTGACATTTATCAAGTCCCTGTGTATATATTTGTGGGTCACCTTGGCTAGCCTGTTTGTCTAGATGCTCCTTCCAACCCTATTGTTTGTTTTCAAACTTGATGTGACTAATTTTGGATCATTATGGTTCTGAGAATTTTAGGCTCTGTTCATCAAGTTTATTTCAGAAAAATCCTGTGATTTTATTGACTAACTTGGAGAAGTAGAACCTTAACATTCGAGTTTCCTCATCCCTGAACGTGTTATCACTATCACTTTGGTCATATCTTTTTCTAATATTCAAAAAAGTTTCCTAGTTTTTAGTTTTCTCTATCAAGGTTCTGCACTTTTTGTTGTTGTTGTTGTTGTTAGCTGTATTTGACACTCTATAGTTTTTGTTACTGTTGGATTTTTTCCTGTTGTGGTTTTGTTTGCTTTTTAATATTTCTCATTTGTGCATTCACCTTATACAGAATCTTGGTAAACCAATTAGTTCTTACACATTATCTTCCCCCCCTCAATTTTTCTATGCAGATGATTAATATTATACAAAATTAATGATAGCTCTTTTTTCTCTTCTTTAACAATTTTTATGTCCTATTTTCTTATGTTAGTGGAGAGTAAGGACTTTGAGAATAACACTAAACAGTAGTGATAGTGGCATCCTTGTCTTTCTTCTGACTGCAATGTTTCTAAAATTCCATTATTATGATCACTAGTTTCTTCAACAGGTTGAGGAACTTCTCTTTTTATTCCTAATGGTTAGTTGTTTGTTTGTTTGTTTGTTTTACAGTAATCATCTTTTTCGTTTGTTTTCTATTTTGTTATTTTCCTGCTTTAGTATTTTTCTTTTATTTTTTGTGATAACATTGGAATTATGTTTTTAATTTCCTGAGCTAAGTACTTAGCTCATTTGTTTTCATTCTGTCTTTTTCTAAGTATATTGTTCATTATATTAGTGAAAAAAGCCGGACTTAATAGTCTTGTGTGCTGTATGACTGCAGACCACATCATTCCCTATGTGACATTCTGAGAAAGATAGGACTATAGGGAGAAAAAAAAAATAGAGCATCAGTTGCCTGGGAGTGTGGGGAAGGATCAATTATAGAGGAACAGTGGTGGAATTTTTGTTGTGATGGAACTTTCTCTCTCTCTCTCTCTTTTTTTAAACTATATTGCCCAGGCTAGTTTTGAAGTACTGGGCTCAAGCAGTCCTCCCACCTCAGCCTCCCAAGTAGCTGGGACAATAGGTGTGAACCATCACCCAGCTGATAGAACTATTTTCTGTCTTGTCAGAACAGTATGCATTTACTACCCCCTTCCCCCCCACCCAAGACCTTACCCTGACTAGATGACTTGATTTGTTTCTTATTCTCACACAGTCAGTTTGGAAGGTATGTGTTCTATACTGCATATCTGTTTTTCCAGTGATCCCTCTAATTAAAGGTTAATATGCATTCCTAAAATGAGTTTTTTACTAAAAGGTAAGGTTTATCAGTATCTTCTTGTTCCTCCTAAACCAGCTATGAATATTAGCCTATTTTAATTTTCCTCTGAAACATCTTTTTGCAGCCATCGATGTCATTTTTTGCCTACTCTTTCAGTTTCATTTTTTTACGTCTTGAAAAAAGTTGTTTTTTGTTTTCTCTCTTACTGCCCTTATTTATTCATTTTCACTGTCTTGTAATAATCCTGCTTACCTTTGTTTCTTGTACTTCATTCCTTCCCCCGAGTTCATTTTTCTTCATATTAAAATACATCTTTTGGTGCTTCTTCCAGCAAGTGCTGGTTGACTTTCTAAGTCTTAGTCTGTTTGGCAGTGTCTTTATTTTACTTTCATTTCACTGAATTCTCTAAAATTCATCTATAAAATATACACATACAATAAAACCAGCTTGCCTGGTATACAGGTTATTGGGGGAGTGGGAATAACATTTTTTGTAAACACTTCAGTAACTGTTAGACCTGTGTGTTTTTGTGAGTCTGTGTGAGCATGTGATTAGAAGATAGTATTAAGTCTTGTTTGATTTGTGTTAGTGTTCCTGTATTTCGAGTGGATTTTTCAAATCATTCCTTATCATTTTGAAATATTTACTGAGATAATAGAGAATAATAGCTAATAGAAATGCCATGAATTGCCCATGGTGCTACTTTTGGGGGGAAGCTAGGATAAGATGAAATATAGAGTCTTAACTCATAGTATAGGGTCACTGCTATTCAGTGGAACTTGGAACCATGCAAGTGTAAAATCCAGCATTCCAGGTTTATTTACCCAGGCAATCCATGAACAATGTGGAAAATACAAATGATATAGAAAGAAAAAGAAGGTAAGAGACAAATCTGGAAAACACACAGAATGTAAATGTTGGGCACATGAGAACATACCCTTCCAGGAGTCTGACTCCTCCTATGTGGCCACACGTATTTATAGGCACTTTCCTTCTTGTCTTTCCAAAGGAATCCCATCACATAAGCAGTTTTTCAACTGACTTTTACGCTTTTATTAGTAGTATATCAAGAAAATACATGTAAGCATTAGTACGTATGATGAATAAAGATGTACTATTGTGAGGATGTATCATAATTTTGTTTAAATGAATCCCTGTTGTTAGACATTCAAATAAAATTTTTCTTATTATAAATAATACAGAGTTCTAGGTGGGGGTGAGTGTTGTGTTTTGTTTTTTTGTGTTTGAGACAAGAGTCTCACTCTGTCACCCAGGCGAGAGTGCCGTGGCATCAGCCTAGCTCACAGCAACCTCAAACTCCTGGGCTCAAGCAATCCTCCTGCCTCAGCCTCCCAGAGTTCTAGGATTACAGGCATGAGCTACCATGCCTGGCCCCAGAGTTCTGTTTTTTAGAATAAATTTCTGGCAGTGGTATTGTTTGATCAAAACATATTGCACATTTAAAATTTTGATGGATGTTTTTTAAATTTCCTCCCAGAAAGCACACAGGAGTGTCCATTTTCTCTTATACATGCTGTGTAGTATCAGTTTTTTTTTTTTAATTTGCCACTTTGAAGATTTTGTGAGAATATCTCTGCATGTGGCTTTGAGCATTGAACATCTTATTTTAATGATCATTTTTATTCTTTTGAGAATTGCTTTTTTGGCTATTTAGTCCCTGTTTGTGCTCATTTTTAAGACTTTATTTTTATTGTGCTTTTAAGTTCTTTTTCATAAGTGTTTCAGGTATTTTTTTCCCTATGGTTTGTTTGTTATCTTCCAAGTCTGTGCTTTAAAATAAACAAATATATATATTCTTTTGAGCTTTTCAACCTCATTCAGGAATTTTTAAAATTTTTTATTTGATCAAAATTTCTTTTGTGGTTTCTGGGTTGTTTTTGTGGTCCTTTTTTTTTTTTTTAAGACAGTCTTACTCTGTTGCCCCAGACTCAGGTGCCCCTCACTCACAGTAACCTCAAACTCTTGGGTTCAATGAGTTTGAAGCAACCTTCCTGCCTCAGCCTCCTGAGTAGCTGGGACTACAGGCATCCACCACAATGCCTGATTAATTTTTAAGTAGAGATGGGGTCTCACTCTTGCTCAGGCTGGGCTGGAACTCCTGAGCTCAAGCAGTCCTCCTGCCTTGGCTTCCCAGAGTACTAGGATTACAGGTGTGAGCCACCACGCCCAGCCCGTCGGTTGTTTTCTTACAATGGAGTACGGAAAAGTCTCCCCACTTCAAGATATTAAAATGTTAATCCATATTTTAGTGTTTTTTGCTGGTTCACTTTTCTCCCATCTTTGAATATTTGATCCACGTGGAGCAGTTTTTCTATAAGGCGTGATCCATGTCAATGCTTCCCTGTCTGTCACATCTTACTTTAGTTTTTAAAAAAATCCAAGATGTGAGCAGATTGACTGGTAACAGAAAGTGAGATGTATTTCAGTGTGTTTCAGCTGGTTGGTGTGTCTTGAGTATTGGGGGGCTGGAGGCTGGGGAAGGAGGAGGAGTGGGTGGGCAGTGGTGGCCGGCGTTTGTGTGGCAGGCCTGCCTTCTGTGAACGTGTGTTTAGACAGAGAACTGAAGGGAGAGGATACCAGCAGAATGTCTCCTAGCAATTAGGTTTCCCCTTTTTTAGTTTCCAGTTCCTATTTTTTTTTTTCTGAGAAAGCGTCTCACTCTGTTTCCCAGGGTTGAGTTCTGGGGCGTCATCGTACATCACAGCAGCCTCAAACTCTTGGACGTGAGCTATCCTCTTGCCTCTGCCTCTGAAGTAGTGGTGACGTCAGGAGCACACTGCGACACTCAGCTGGTTTTTCTGTTTTTAGTAGAGATGGAGTCTCACTCTTGCTTAGGCTGGTCTTGAACTCCTGAGCTCAAGCAATCTACCTGCCTTGGCCTCTGAGAGTGCTAAGATTACAGGTGTGTTCAGAGTGTGAAGATTACAGGTGTGCGCCAGCATGCCCGGCTATTCCCAGTTCTTTACTGGGGGAAGCAAAGCTGTGATAGGGTGGCATACAGTACTGCTGATGAGAGAACTTAGATGTGTGTTTTAAATTTTTCATCTGTACTGTTTTTGAATACCAAGTGGCCTTTTTTCATGATAAAGCCATGAACTCTGAATTCTGTGGACAAGGAGCATTATTTTGACTTTTTTCCCCATATATGTGCTTAGTTCAGAAAGGAATTGGGAATAGAGACTATTTTTTTCCCTTCTTAGCCCCTAATACTGATCCATAAGTAAATGCTGTTAAATTTCTTATATTTCTTACAGAAATTTAAAGTATTATTTTACCCTTAAAACATTCACATTGATACATAATGTACATATTTGGGGGTATATGTGGTATTTTGATACATGTATACGGCGCATGGTGATCAAATTAGGGTATTGGAATATGCACCACCTCAAACATTTATCTTTTCTCCAGATACTGTTTTTGACGATTACGTGCTGCTGAATGTTCAGCTGGGGAAATTGAAGGTCTTTGATTCAGAAGAAACAAATCAAGAAGAAGGTAAGAGATAGAAATGTACTTATGGGTTTGAAGTGTACTTTTCTTCAAGTTGTAATACCAAGATTACTTCTTTAGGGTAATCTCTCTTGACAATAAAATCAATGTAGGGATCACAGGATGGGATGGACAGATGCCAGGGGTAAAACCACAGCCTCTATTTCTTTGAACACCTTACACAGGACAGAGGCTATGTATGCCCCTGAGCACTGACTCACATGGGATTAGGATCTTCAATCTGGAGACAACAAACTCAGGCTTCAGCAGACATGTGGCATACTTGTCCTGGCTGGTAAAGCACAAAGCTGGACTGGTGTCTCTGCCTGGAGAGCCCCCAGTACTGTAGGAGACCTCAAGTCAATTCTGGCCAGGTCCATAGAGGCCTTTCCCCACTTTTTGGACTAGATGGTTCTTCCCCTTTTGGCTGCTGTTTTATTTTCTTCATGGGTCCATAGTGGCGTGTTCACAGTTAGAAACCACAGCTTACAGGATGCATAAAAAATGTTTATAATAATATTTGCCAACTTTTTCCCATTATTGAAGAGCTAGTATGGCCTCTGTCACCCACGTGCAATTGTAGGTGGCACCGTCACTCAGGACACTTTCCTTCCATTTGTCCAGAACTTGTTAGAACAAGACATTTGTTGTAATAAATGTACAAGTTGATGGCAGCTGAGATGTAAATGGTGCCCCTGAGGGTTGTGCAGTGCCCAGTAGCCAAGTGAGGAGAAAACGTGTAAAGGATGTGTGTTAAGAATGTCTGTAATTCTCCTTCTAGAACTATTCTGTTTCAGGTTTTTCTAGGGACTGGCCATACCTAGCTAGTAGGGGGATGGGGGAGTTCAGGATGAGGATGGATAGACCTAGATTTTCATCCTTACACTAACGGAGAAAGCATATCAGAACTTAAGTGTCCACCGTGTCCCTGCTGTGGGCCTCCCTCTGTCTCTCACCATGACTCCAGTGGGAAAAACCATCTTTGCCAACAAGGTCACAACGTCAGTGGAGAGCAGGACACATACCCACGGGGAACAAAGTGAGGAGAGTTTCCTGAAACATCCCATTGTGTGTGTGGCCTGAAGTAGAGAAAGCATTAGAGAGAGAGAGATTACAGCGGCCAGAAGTAGTCAGGGCGCCTGAGATGCGGCCCCACAGGACAAGGAGTCTTAAGCCCTGCTGTGTTCATGTGCATGCAGAGGCCGGAGTGCTGTGTGTCCGGAGACCCTCAGGCTGACCCACGGTGGAGCCCTTAGTAGACCAACCTTCCTGTAGTGAACTGATGTCCATTCTCTGTGGCGGACCTGGGCTTCCCAGGAGCCACCCCTAGATGGGTGTGGCTGAAAGGGTAGCTGTCAGAAACCCCTGGACCCACCCTTGCTCGTGCTGTTGATCTGTCCCTACAGATCTGTAAACAGTCCGTGCTGTGCCGACACGTGGAATTTGCACAGTGCCTCAGGATTCTTCTCCTGCCTCCTCCTCCCTTTGGTGTCCTTACGGGCCTGCTCTGTGGGCATAGATGTCCAGCGCTCACTCACACGTGACTGTCCTTATGCTGATGCCTGTGTCCCAGTGCAGGGAAGCCCAGATTGTAAACCACCCTGAGGCTTGGGGTCTGCAGCAGCGCCGAGGCCTCTCTGTTACTCTGCCTGTCCTGTGTCTGTTTTCTCGTCTCAGTAGAGGCTCTGTGTAAAAGCAGATGTCCCACGGGCATCCAGCCTTTTCTCTTCTCTGCTATAAATTACACAAAAGAGAGCGGCCTTGGGCCAAACATTAAATACACAAACACTAATGAAAGCCGATGAGTAAAAAGTGGTCTGTGCATCCCATGTACTTTCCACGATGTCCCACACCACAGATAAGCAAAACAGTCCTCAAATAATCAGCACTGACCTGCAGGCTACCCCAGGTATCTAGGAGGTTCCGTCCTGTGATTTTGACCCGGTTGGCGTGCAAGTTCTGGGTAGGCTGGAAGGGGAGTCACATGAAAGCACCATTCTACGGAGAGGACTGTAAGTGCTTTCTGTCCAAATGGCACTGAGTTTAGCCAGTGAGGAGGTGAAGAGGGGATGGCACTTGGGCAAGTTACAGCTATTTTATAGTCAGCGTTTTAAAACTCAGGAGTTGCTTATCCTGTTGTGTCTGGAGGACTTGCCTTTCAGGTGCAGGATGTCCCCTTTTATCCTACCCTGCGTCAGCTGTCACCATGAAGGATACTGGTCACTACAGGGTCTTCCTCGTCCACGTCTAATAGAATCCACGTCAGGTCACATAGCTGAGGACGGCCTTCGGTTTAACTGGGCAGGTCACTAGTAGTATCTCCCCACATTAAATCCTTCCTTCTTTTTTCACGGTGGTAAAGACAAGACACCATTTTATTGCAGATTTACTTTTTAACCTTACACAACCCACCTCTCCCTCCAGGCATCTAGGACAAAATTATAGATCATAATTAACAATCATTTGTGTAGAACAAGAAGTATTCATGTTCCCAAAATAATCACAGGCTATGTTTTAATCTTGGTCTTGATGTACAAAATGTAAAAAGCTGAAATTCTTTTTTTTTTTTTTTTTTTTTTTGGTTTTTAGTGTCCCTTTGCATGTAGTTAAATGAAGGTAAGTGTTTCAGGTCAGGAGTTTTGCTTTGGAGGTTTTATTCTCCCCTTCTTTCTCTTGAGTGAATAATCCCATATCATTTGAAGACATGCTTTGGGTGGCGGATACTAACTCGGTTTTGGGTACACCTTCCAGACCCCGGGGCTCACCTGCCGAGCGCCTCTGGATGGCCTCGGCAGTCTTGCCTACCCTTCCGAGTAAGATGTCCCTGCGATCCCTGAAATGCAGTCTCCTGCTGCTGTCACTGCTGAGTTTCCTTGTCATGTGGTACCTCAGCCTCCCCCAGTACAACGTGATAGAACGTGTCAACTGGATGTACTTCTACGAGTACGAGCCGATTTACAGACAAGACTTCCGCTTCACGCTCCGGGAGCATTCCAACTGCTCTCATCAAAACCCGTTCCTGGTCATCCTGGTGACCTCCCACCCATCAGATGTGAAAGCCAGACAGGCCATCAGAGTGACTTGGGGTGAAAAGAAGTCTTGGTGGGGATATGAGGTTCTTACGTTTTTCTTGCTAGGCCAGCAGGCTGAAAGGGAGGACAAAATGCTAGCCTTGTCCTTAGAGGATGAGCACCTCCTCTATGGTGACATCATCCGGCAAGATTTTCTAGACACATATAATAACCTGACCTTGAAAACCATTATGGCATTCAGGTGGGTAACGGAGTTCTGCCCCAATGCCAAGTACGTCATGAAGACAGACACTGATGTTTTCATCAATACTGGCAATTTAGTGAAGTATCTTTTAAACCTGAACCACTCAGAGAAGTTTTTCACAGGTTATCCTCTAATCGATAATTACTCCTATAGAGGATTTTACCAAAAAATCCACATCTCGTACCAGGAGTATCCTTTCAAGGTGTTCCCTCCCTACTGCAGTGGGTTGGGGTACGTAATGTCTAGAGATCTGGTACCAAGGATCTATGAAATGATGAGTCACGTAAAACCCATCAAGTTTGAAGACGTTTATGTCGGGATCTGTTTGAATTTACTGAAAGTGGACATTCACATTCCAGAGGACACTAACCTTTTCTTTCTGTATAGAATCCATTTGGACGTCTGCCAGCTCAGACGTGTGATCGCAGCCCACGGCTTTTCCTCCAAGGAGATCATCACTTTCTGGCAGGTTATGCTAAGGAACACCACATGCCATTATTAATGCCACATTCCACCAAAAGCTAGAGAAGGGCAGGACGCTTAGCGGAAAGTGTGGAAGTTGGGACTGTGGGAAGTTCGTGGGAAGGTCAGGGTGCCGGCTTACCCTGGCCTCAAACCCACAAAGAACCCAGAGGCTGGAGGGTTCAGCTTTACTTGTGATCTTTTTTGACAAAAATCAAGTCAGACCCTTTTAAAGATGATAGAGGAATTACATATCTCCAAATAAAATTGGAGGTATTTGTTAATGAAATGAATAGGAGCAAATAATTTCAACATGTTTTTCTGTAGGCTAGAATTTCTTAAAAGGGTTTCTCTAAATTATAAGCTCATTAATTAATAACAATAAAGCAGTGTAGAGTTTTATTTATGGAGCAATCTAATCACTTAAAGGATTCATATGGATCTTTCATGGATAGCTAATTTAAAAATGTAGTTCTGTGTCAAAACTTAACTGAAGTTACACTGAGCAAAAGTTCATCTTTTTTTTTTTTTGTCACGTGGAATGTACTTGAAGATGTTGCAGTATTTTAGAGTTAATGATTATTTAACATTATTTTGAATTTTCTGAACATGTAACTGTTTTGATGGTTTCGATACTGTATAAATAGAATAGCGGATCGTTGTTTACATTGGAACCTTTTCCTTGTTACTCTGCTGATCAATTTGTTGCTGATATTCCTGTTAATGTACAGTCATAGGTTGTCACTGTGTATCAGTAAACTCTTGGACTTTGTTCAATATTTTACTGTAGTAATGTAGAGAAGAATTAAAGCCAGAAAATCTGAATTAGTGTCTTGTTTTTTTTTAAAGTATAGCCCCACTGTTTTTAGATGCCACTTTGTCCGTCTCATTTTTCCACTTGGAAATTAGGGACAACGTAGAATGCCAGGCAGTAGATTTCCTTTTGCAAAGGACCCCGGAGGAGCGAGAGAGAGAAGCTAATGGCCGGAACGTTATGGAAAGAGTGTCAAATTCCAGTAGTTGGGTTGGAAAGAGGAGACGGAAACTCCAAATTGCACTATCAGTCTGCCCTGTGTGATTTTGTGAATAAAGAGGAAAAAAGGAAACAAAAAAACCCCCCAAACTGCTGCTAGTTTCTCATTAAGATGCAAGCCCTAAAGTGCAGTCTGAAGTCAAATCTGATTTAAACTTCGTGCTTTCTTAGAAGTTCATTTCTCAGAAGTGGAGATGGAGCTTTGCTGGACCTGCTGGAAGCAGGTCACACAGGGGCTCTCCTTTCCCTGGCCCTCCTGGGATTATGCAGTTTCCTTGGAGAGCTGATCCAGGCAGGTGACTCCTTTTCTCTGAATTACATGATGGTAGAAGATCAGACCTCTTGTCAGGAAATACAAACTTGAAGCCTGTGCTCAGCTCTTGTAATGCTCAGATATTTATAATTCTCCTATGTGAAAAACCTAACTTCAATTAAAACCATAATGCATGGACTGGACATGGTGAGTCTCACCTGTGCTCCTAGCACTCTGGGAGGCCAAGGTAGGAGGATCACTTCAGCTCAGGAGTGTGGGGTTGCCGGGAGCTAGGCTGAGGCCATGGCACTCTATGCCCAAAACAAAAACCCTCCGTATAACGTATGGTCTCTAAAAAGGCTATGTATGTTTTCCTGGGCTCAGATCTGACCCATTTACAATAAAATCAATTAAATAAAATACTCTGTGGAACCAATCTATGCCCTTTCTAATCCCTATCCAAATCGGAGTCACTTTCCTTAAGACAGATGGTAGTGGTTATTTTTGTGCTACGATTAGATTTGATGGGTTCTGCATACGATTATACTCATGTGCTCTGTGACAACATTTTGGTCATTAATGGACTGCCCAGATCACAGCGGTCCCAGAATATTCTAATGGAGCTGAAAAATTCCTACTGCCTGGTGGTGTCAGAGCTCTGGGAATGTCTGAGCACAACACGCTGGCCATGTTCATGGTGACGCTGGTGAACACACCTGGGCTGCCATCACACACCGCTATGGACAGGACACAATACTTGATGATAAATGACCGTGTTCCTGGCTTCTGTGTTTCCTGCACTTTTATTCTTATTTTGGTGTGTCCTCCTACTTATTAAAAAAAAAAAAAGGTAACTGTAAAACAGCTACAGCCTGGTTCTTCAGGGAGTTTTCCTGAAGAAGATATCCTTATCATAGGAGGTGACAGCTGCCTGTGTGTCACTGCCCTGAAGACCTTCCGGGGGACACAAGGTCAAGAATGAAGAGAGTGATGCTGATGACCTGACCTGTGTAAGCCTAGGCTAATGAGCATGTGTGTTTTAAACAAAAAAGTTAAAAAGTAAAAGAGTAAAAAAATCAGAAAAATGGCGTAAGGATATAAAGAAAGGAAAATCTTGTATAGCCGTACAATGTGTGTTAAACCAACCATTATAGAAAAGCCTAAAAGCTAAAAATTTAAGCTTAAGAGGTCAGAAGGTTACAGTAAGTTAAGGTGAATTAATCATTGAGGAAAGGAAAATTTTATTTAGTGTATCCGAAATGTACAGGGTACAGTAATGTCCTCGGCCTTCACACCCACCACGCACTCACACTTCACTCTTGCCGGCCTCATTTGTGGTAAAAGCCCTATACAGGTGGACCATTTTTTAAACTTCATACCATTATTTTCCCTGTACTACTTTTATGTGTAGATGCACACATGCTTACCATTTTGTTACAGTTAGCTACAGTGCTCAGTATAGTAACATGCCGTCCAGGTTTACAGCTCAGGAGCCATAGGGTGGAGGGGATAGCCTGGGTACCCAGTAGGCCATGCCGGCTAGGTAGACTAAGTACCCTCTGATGTCCACAGGACAAAATTGCCTAGTGACACATTTCTTAGACCCCCTCTCCATATATTGATGTTTGAGAAGTTAATTTTTAGAAAGACTTTGCTTTGCTTTTTCTTTCTTTCTTCTTTTTTTTTTTTTTTTTTTTTTTAGACCAGATCTTCTTGCTGTTTACCCTGGCTAGAGTGCAGTGGCATGATCAGAGCTCACAGCAACCTCAAACTCCTGGGCTCAAGCAATCCTCTTGCCTTAGCCTCCTAAGTAGCTGGGACTTTAGGATTGTGCCCTTATGCCCGGTTGATTTTTCTACTTTGTAGAAAGTCTTGCTCTTGCTCAGGCTGGTCTTAAACTCCTGCCTTCAACCAGTCCGCCCACCTCGGCCTCCTGGAGTGCTGGGATTACAGATGTGAGCCATGCCCCCCATCCCCGGCCTAAAGAGAGCTTTTAAAATAAATTACTTCCCTTCACTATTGGGAAAAAAACAAAAAGTAAAATGTGAATAAAATTTGCAAATTTCAGAAGAGCATTCCTTCTGAACTAAAGATTGGTGCTAAAACATCTCTGAACAGTTGAGTGAGTGGGACAGACATCAAGGGTGAGTCGATACGTTTTTTGTTTCTAACCACATGTTTCCTAAGCTTTCAAGTGCTCAATGTCAGTCAGCTGTGTCATTAAAAGCAGGACCCCGGGGAGGTAGCCAAGTCAACAGCTTTTTGACTCTCAAATCTCCAAGTTTAACACTGGGCCTCCCCGGAGCTGATTCCAGCCCATGTGCCCCAGCCCTGCCACCCCACGGTCTAACACGAAGGCTCACTCACTCTGCGCATCTGTGAGCACTGAGTTTGTGACCCTTACCTATGAGCTGTGCTAGATGACAGTGCAGCGACTCTGGGGTTTCCGAAGGTGATGGCAAACACGTTTCCTTTCGCTCACATTGCGTTCCAGAGCCAGCTGCCCCCTGCTCCGCGACTCTCCTCTTCCCAGGATGCAGGCTGAAGGGCAGCCCCACCCCCCCACCGGGATGCAGGCTGACGGGCAGCCCCACCCCACCCCCGGATGCAGGCTGACGGGCAGTCCCCCCCCCATGCAGGCTGACGGGTGGTCCCCCCGGGATGCAGGCTGGCAGGCGGTCCCCCCGGGATGCAGGCTGATGGGTGGCCCTCCTGGGATGCAGGCTGACGGG